ATGCAGGGCTTGTGTGAATAAATGAGGCACGCACAACTCCAGGAAGATAGGGACTCTGTGTTTTGTTCAGCTACATATCTCCAGCACCTAAGGCAGCAAGGATCAGAGTGAAACTGAAAATACTTAACAATGAGCAATATAATGCAGACAAAGACACGAACCAAATAGAATAGAGGGGAACTTGTTGGGGATCAGTTCTGGAAGACCCCTGCTGAAAGTGTTAATGAATTGTGTGTATGTGTGCATGTACATGAAAATGAAACTGAAAGCCAACTTTGACAGAAAGCTGTTGATAAGTTGGTGAGAAACTAATTCACGTATGAGAAAAAAGTGCATTTTGTCTAAAATCTGTTAAGTCAACTAAAAGCTATGATGTTTGCCCATAGCAGACACACTGCTAAACCAGAGGTTTTATATGAGGTCCAAGTGGGAAAGAATATAAATATCCTGGTGATAATTACAGAGGAGAAAGTCACTTCTCTGATGGGGTGTATTTAACGTTTCAAAAGAAGGAAGGGCATTAAGAAATAAGTGGCTAAGAGCCATAAAGCTATAGAAGATTGTGAGCATTTTCAGAAGACACATTTCTGAATGTTGCCTATCCCCCAAACAGGAAAAGCCAAAGTCACTGGTTTTTAAGTATCACTGTGTAGATGATATTTATCATTTTCTACCTTATCAAGCACCCATCTCGAATCTCCTTATATTTTCAAAGGCCAGATAGGTTACTTCCTCATGCATATGAGAATGCTGCTGGTTCCCACTTCTGGATCTTTGAAAATAAAATCATTCAATAGCATTCAGAAGTTTCCCACATTTTCCTTTTGCTTAGAACACATTAGTATATTGATGGCTATACACTTGTCCATGGATTCTTTGCTGCTCCTCCCATCAAGAGGCAGGGTCTATGCCCTCTTCTCTTGCAGGTGGTCTGCCTGAAAAGCTTGTGTATGACCAAGAGACTGGTGTGGGACTTCAGAGGCTGGGACAGAAATGGCCATGTGGTCCCACCTGGCTCTCCTGGGACACTCACTCTGGGGGAAGCCAGCTGCCCAGTAAGAAGTACAACTATCCTTAAAACTACCATCAGCAGTTGAAGCTGAACAGGTTACATGCAGGGCTCCTACTGGAAGGCCTGGCCAAGCACCCAGCTGCTGGCTGGAATCAACCGCCACCTCAAATGAAGCGAGCCTTCACATGACTGTACCCCCAGCCAGCATTTGACTGTAAGCACATGAGAGATCCCAAGTTAGAAGTGTCTGGCAGAGCCCTCCCCCAAACTCCCAGCCCACAAAATGCTAAGCAAAATCAAATAGTTGTTGTTTGCCACCCCAAAGTTGTAGGATAATGCATATCAATGGCAACAATAATTGTAATGACCAAGGAAGTATTTTTCTGACCAATTCTATTACTTTTTGTACCTTCAGTAAAAGGCAATTTCAGACCCAAGTGGTATTAGCCAGAACAGACTAGGTTATACTGTGCTCAAATAATTTACCCTGAAGAGTCAATGGGATGGAAGGTATGCCAGATATCTTCCATTCGCCCCTTTGGTTTCCTTCTTTGCTGTGTTCCACTCTGCTTCATAATGCTCTGTGTGTCAGGAAGTTTATCTGCATTCAAAAACTTGCTTTTCCTCTGGGTCCACTAACAGGAAGATAGGAGGGTGGGGGACGGGTGAAGTGGAGATATTTAGTCCCCTGCCCCCGCCCTGCCCAGTTTCCCTGGCTTGCTCCCTCTAACGAAGGCCACCATTCTTGTTTAGAGACCTGCTCAGTACACTTCCCTCGGTAGGTCCTGGTAATGGTCCTTCACTTGCCCCTTCAGACTTAGAGGTTCTAACAGTCCCCATCCCATCCCAGAGCTAGCCTTAAGGATACTGTGCCATGTACTACTGACTACCTAAACTTTGCCCATGTCTTATAAGGAATTCCCTTATTAAACTCTCCTAGAATCACCCAGTTTAATATGCCATGCATTTCTTGCTATTTCCCTAATCCTGTATCTGTGATTATAAGAATCATTAAATATGTCTTTACATTAAAAAAGAAAATTTACCCTGAAATCTCAGTGGCTTCGTTCAACAGAAGTGTGTCCTGTTTAAGGACAGGTGAGGAATTCTGCTCTATCTGGTGAGTCAGGGAATCAAACCCCTGCATGTGATGATGACTTCATTTCATAGACTGCGGCAGCAGGCGACACTAACTCTCCTATGTTTCCATCCTACAGCATATCGTCATTCAGAGAAAGTGTCGTTATTCTGGCAATACCATTTTTTCAAAATTACCAAGTGCAGCATAGATGGGCGGTCTCCAATACGCCTTCCCCTTTTCCTCCTTTTAATTAGAGCAATAGTGCAAGTTTTAGGAGGGTACCTAACCGCCTGACTACAGCCCACACTTGCAGCCCAGAGTACCATGTGACAAAGCTCGGGCCAATGGGACATGAACAGGAGTGATATGTGTAATTTCTAGATCCTCTCTTTTGCCTTGTATGCTCTCTCTGCCTTCCCTCCCCTCTGGGACACCTCACTTTTAGACTGAGAAGAGAAAAATAAAATCCATCTATCCATCTACCTAGTTAAGCCACTTTATTTTTTACAGAGAGCAGAGAACAATGACAGGGGGTGTCATACTAACTTAGCAACTAACTTTTCACACCTTTTCCTATTGCACACCTTCATTTTATACTGACATACATTTTCATTTCCCCCTTTTAATCTGTACTTTTGAATTCGCTGTTACAGTACTGAACTTCCACTGTTCTTTACTTAACTGAACTCTAACTCACATGGCAGCTTCCTTTGAAGGCCTGGACTCTCTGATGTGGAACACAGACACTGTAGTGTGGGAGAGGGAAGAGTCAATTCAAAGGTTGATGATCCTGCTTCTCATCCTGGGGGGGCGTGTCTTAGACAAACCCTTAGACAAGTCCACAGAAATAAAGACTTGCAGCCAAAATTAACCTCCTAAAAAAGGTGTAAAGGTTAAATATTAGGCTTGTTTATCTACTAACATGTTATGGCTTCCCCACCTCAAATTTTAAACTCAGCCAATAGAATGGAGGCAATGTGGTACCATGGCTAATAGTGCAGATCCTGGAATCAGAACAAATCTGGTTTGACTCTCAGCCTTCCCACTTACTACTAATTTGACTATGGGCAAGTTAACTGTCAAAGGTGAGTAGAATAGCTCATAGAGTAGCTGTAAAAATTAAAGAAGATAGTACACACTGAGTACTTGGTATACTGCCTGAGGATTCAATGGGAGCTGTTAGTGTAACTGTTCCTTTGCATATGCTAGTCCCTCTGCATGGAATACCTTTCTCCTCTTGTTTTTTTTTTTTTTTAAAGATATTATTTATTTATTTGAGAGAGAGAATGAGAGACAGAGAGCACGAGAGGGAAGAGGGCAGAGGGAGAAGCAGACACCCTGCTGAGCAGGGAGCCCGATGCGGGACTCGATCCAGGGACTCCAGGATCATGACCTGAGCCGAAGGCAGTCGCTTAACCAACTGAGCCACCCAGGCGCCCTCTCCTCTTGTTGATCTGGGCAATTCCTTCACATTCATTACAACTCATGCTCTGTGATACCCTCTCACCTCCTCCGCTGGCCGGGAGCAACCTTTCCCTTATTGATGTTACAGAGAAGACGTATGTATTAATTCTGTTTTATCAGAGGATAGTGTACGTGCCTGTTTAAATAGCTGCCCCCTCCTCACTGTGTGCATGGTCTGTTTCTTCTTCATTGCTGAATCCCACTACTCAGTGGAGTACACATTGTAGGTTCTCAAATATGTTTGCAAAATGAACCAAATAAATCCTTGAATTCACTCTAGAATCAACCCCCTTCTCTTCTAGATTAGGAATGAGGCCTACCAATTAATTATGCCATTCTTTCTATCAAAAGAATTGTCCTATCAAAATAATTTAAAGTGAAGCATAATTAGTATTGCTGATATTACAAAAGGCAGTTATCTGAACATGAATATCTACAGATACAGGCTCTCTAATGAGAATGTTCTTGTCTAACATTTCAAGTTTTCCTTGGGAATTGTAAGCAGATGCAATTGAAAGGTCTTAAAAATCACGGTCAGTAATTGAAAATGTATTGCTATTGTAATAAGGAACAAGTTATTAGAATTTAAAGGATAGTAAATAATCATAAGAATTTAGCATGTATATAGAAATTCTTACTCTATAAAGTCTTTTCACCTTCTTCTTCTAATTGCCTTGTGAGAGTGAAAGCAGCTATATTCCTATTACATGGGAGGTTATGTATAATCAATAAATACTATAGCAAAGATGAAAATCTATTTCGGCCAGCTTTGGTGGCCTTTGTTGTGGCTGTTAAATCCAGACTTCAATAAAATACATTATTATTATTATTTAGTTTTCTAGAGGGAAAGAGAATATATCCATGGATCCATCTTTGAGTAAGACCAATATTACCATTCCCTTTAAAGAACTTAATACCAGTTTCTGATGACAGTGACAATATGTAGTCTTAAAGAGTAAAAGACAGTTTGGTGGGGGGTGGGAGGCATGGGGTGGCTGGGTGACAGACATTGGGGAGGGTATGTGCTATGGTGAGTGCTGTGAATTGTGCAAGACTGTTGAATCACAGACCTGTACCTCTGAAACAAATAATACATTATATGTTAAAAAAAGAAGATAGTAGGAAGGGAAAAATGAAGAGGGGGAAATTGGAGGGAGAGACGAACCACGAGAGACTATGGATTCTGAGAAACAAACCGAGGGTTCTAGAGGGGAGGAGGTTGGGGGGATGGGTTAGCCCGCTGGTGGGTATTAAAGAGGGCATGTATTGAACGGAGCACTGGGTGTTATACGCAAACAATGAATCATGGAACACTACATCAAAAACTAATGATGTAATGTATGGTGATTAACATAACATAATAAAATTTTAAAAATGCAAAAAAAAAAAAAAAGACACTTTGTAAAAGAGAAATCTGAAACACCAAACATTGAAATAAAATACCTCAATGCAGATATGATGCATTCCTCCAGCCTTGTTTTTCTGTAGAAAAGCTGCAATTGGACTGTCATTTCCCAACGGATGAAGCAGCTCCATCTTGGTGTTTCCCAGGTTGACAAAAACAACAGATACTCCGTGCTCAGGAATAGGGACCGTCTCACTTACCTGGGCCCCCAGAACATTCTTATAAAATGCCGCGGCTTTTTCCAAGTCTGGCACTGCAATTGCTACATGATTGAGTCGACCCAGGTTCCACACAGGACCTGCCACTTGAAGCGAGGACTGAGATGTGGAAAAAGTTCTTACTTTTGGAACTGGAGTCTTAAGTCTGGAATAAAGCCCTGAAAAATGGAACAGCCATTGATATCCTTCTTTTGAAAATTAATGGATTTATAAAATTAATTTTTTAAAAAACTAAATGCATAATACATGTAAAAATCATTTATATACCTATTCTGGTTTTAATTACTGAAATTAAATCATAGAGATAAATGGAAAAACTATGTCAAAATTACTCTGCTCCGAAACAACTGTCTGGAATCAAAAAATTAATTCTGAGCTTTATAGATTTAAAACAAAGATGGCATTTTTCATGATAATTTCTATTTACTGATAACACTTAAAGGATAAATGCACAGCATTAAGAATTACTTGCTATTCTCTGCATTTCACAAGATGTAAGTTTGAATGTGACAGTGAAACAACACACATTTAATGATGAGAACAAGTAATTTTCTTCCCTACCTATAACCAATTTTTTTGTCTTATAGTAATATGTATTAAAGTCATGACCATTACAGTGCTTTCTAATGTGATTTTTTTTTGAATGATTACTAAGGAAAATATCTCATTGTTGGGAGAAAAACAAGCAAAGATTAAGATTGTCCTTAAACTTGTGAGAATTCCCTCTGAAACCAGATTTTTAAAAACTGTTTCTTTTTGTAATTTTGAAGAATTAGAAGCAGAACTGCTTCTGAATGTGAAGAAATCGCTTTCATTTAGAAACAGAAGAGACTTGTGTTCTCCCTGTGGATTACTGCTTCCCCAGTCCCCAACACACTGGATTTTAAGAGCCAGATTCTGCCCAGAACTAAAACTATATACATATACGAAGTCTAAAAATAATCTTGTAAAACTACATCACTTAATAAAAAAGGTACAAAATAGCAAATTGAAGAATACATATTCTAAACAATTAGATTTAGCTCTTAATGGAAAATACATTAAACAGTACTTAGTATCACAGAGCTCCAGCTAACAAATAATTAATTCCCCTTTACTGAAATTATTGATAATGAGATTAAAGTGACACTATTTAAGACCACAAACCTTGTGGGGAACTGCAGTCTCATGTGTGTAATCTTTCAACCCCCACTCAACCGCCTAAGGATGAAAACTTCCTTACCAAGAGATAAAGAGCCCATACGGCCTGTGCAGGGCTTATCATCTTGCCCTGGGAGTATCTTTCCCTCTTTCAGGCTCAATGAATGCTCTTAGGTCTCAGCTTAAAGTGTGTGCGTCATGTGTTACATGAGTCCTCACTGTTATATCAGTCCTCTGCAGAGAGGGGACAGCACAAGAGGAGTGTGCATAGGTAAACTGTCCTGCATGGCCACTGGGAGAAACTCAATGGTGGACCAACACCCACTATTAAAGGTAATCTTGCTCTGTTTCCTTTCTATGTAAATAAAGCACTGTTCCATCTACTGCTTGTGTTTTCTTTGAAGACTCTGACACCAAGATGCAATAGGGAGAAGTGTTTAGAGTCCTCCCCTGGGACTGGTAACCAGTGTATGGTACTGCTTGACCAAAGTGAAGGCAAAATTCAGCCTAAGATAGTCTTCTGCTATGCTCGAGCCTGTATTACTGATTATGGAAATACCCAAAGGTTGTCATTATCAATAGGTTGACACAGCTCAGTTCTATGGACTCACTGTATTTTGAAATTCAAGTGTATTCCAAACTAGTACGTACATACATAAATGTACAATTGAAAGTAAATTTCATGAAAAGCATACCTAATCCTCAATAGATGTGATGTGCTCTGATATTTTCTACTCTGTTGTATTTTATTTCAGTTTTTAAAAAAATTCTGGTACTACCCACTAAATATCTATGTTGCTAAGTTTGCCGTAAAGATTAGATATTTGGTGTAAAAATACAATACGGTGCCAGACATACATAATGGGTACATAATAAATTCAGCCACTCTCATGATGATCATTTGCTAACTGAGTGGTATGCAGGGTAATCTGTGGAGACCAAGTAACCATCTCAAGAGCATGGTGACAGTGAATTTTAAAAATGCTAACCACCAACAAACTGTTCTTCCCTTGCATCTCTACTATCTGTGCATCTGCAATGAAAGTTCAATACAGAACGTATTTGTATTAAAAAAAACCCAACATTGTAGGTAAGGGCAATGATCTTTAGAGTAAAATGCACATCAAAAGAAGTCGTTTGCTCTGTGAAATCTTAAGGGTATCAAATATTGATTCTAGGTATTTCTGAATTCTCTTTATCAGTGGTTTTTTGTTTTTTTGGGTTTTTTTAGATTTTATTTATTTATTTGAGAGAGAGAGACACAGCGAGAGAGGGAACACAAGCAGGGGGAGTGGGAGAGGGAGAAGCAGGCCTCCTGCCGAGCAGGGAGCCCAATGAAGGGCTCAATCCCAGGACCCTGAGATCATGACCTGAGCCGAAGGCAGACACTTAATGACTGAGCCACCCAGGTACCCTATCCTTATCAGTGTTATCTTTATAAGAATTGGGGCAGCTAGGGGCGCCTGGGTGGCTCAGATGGTTGGGCGTATGCCTTCGGCTCAGGTCATGATCTCAGGGTCCTGGGATCGAGCCCCACATCGGGCTCCCTGCTTGGTGGGGAGCCTGCTTCTCCCTCTCCCTCTACTGTTCTCCCTGCTTGTGCTCTCTCGCTCTGTCAAATAAATAAATAAATAAATCTTAAAAAAAAAAAAAAAGAATTGGGGCAGCTAACTGGTGGTTCTTTGGCAGGCATCCTATTACCAGCAATGGAACACATGGAAATATCAAAGGAAGAAATTACAAGATGTCCAAGTGAAGGTGAAGTTTTATATACTGTTCCAGTTTGTTGGGGGACATTCCAAAATCTCTGACACTGAAAAGGAAGCCCAAGCAACTCATGCTATTGGAAGCCTCCCTGTGGTCTACCTTTCTCCACAACCATTTTATCATGAGGAAAGAGTTATTAGAATGACTGGTTCTTTTTCTTTTTAATGGAACACAAAATCTTCTTTATATGTTAGGAAAATAGAAAGATAATAACATCTTTATATAATGTAAAAATCAAGACTTTGTGGTTACAGGTTTATCTTATCTCTAGAAATGTAAACTAGCTTGAGAAAAAAATATCACTTTATTGGTCTTATTTGGTCTCTTGGAATAGAACAAAAATAAACCCAGTGATACTGGTGAGAATTCAATAATTCTTTAAAATGAAGCGTTAAGAGGGGCACCTGGCTGGCTCAGTTGGTAGAGCATGAGGCTCTTGATTTTGGGGTCATGAGGTCCCCATTGGGTGTAGAGATTACCTGAATAAATAAACTTAAAAAATAAAGGGTTAAGAAGATAAAAATAGCCAAAAAGCACATAAGATACTCAATATCATAGCCATTAGGGAAAGGCAAATCAAAAACACAACAGGATACCACTTCACACCCACAACTAAAAGTGTTGATGAGGATGTGGAAAAACTGGAATCCTTGTACATTGCTGGCAAGAATGTAAAATGATAGAGCTGCCATGAAACAGTTCGGAAAACTCAGAAAGTTAAACATACAATTAGCATGTGACTCAAAAATTCCACTCCTAGGTCCCTAAAATAATTGAAAACATGTACTTAAACAAAAACTTGTACACAAATTTTTATGACAGCACTATTCCCAATAGCCATGGAAAATGATTCATATTCGTACGGTGGAATATTATCCATAAAGTGGATTTGAAGCAATGATACAACATGGATGAACCTTGAAAACACTATACCAAGTGACAACATTATGCTAAATGACAGCAGCCAGACATAAAAGGTCATATGCTATATGACTCCATTTATAGGAAATATCCAGAATGGGTAAGTCCACAGACAAGAAGCAGGACAGTGGTTGCCAAGGGCTGGATGGAGGTGGGAATGGGGACTGACTGCTTAACTGGCACGAGATTTCCTTTTGGGGTGATGAAAATGTCTTGGAATTAGGGGCGCCTGGGTGGCTCAGCTGGTTAAGCAACTGCCTTCGGCTCAGGTCATGATCCCAGGGTCCTGGGATTGAGCCCTGCATCGGGCTCCCTGCTCCGCAGGAGGCCTGCTTCTCTCTCCCACTCCCCCTGCTGTGTTCCCTCTCTCGTTGTGTCTCTCTCTGTCAAATAAATAAAATCTTAAAAAAAAAAAAGTCTTGCAATTAAATAAAGATTATGGTTGCACAACATGGTGAATGTAACAAATGCTGCTAAATTGTACATTTTAAAATGGTACGTTATGTGAATTACCTTAAAACAACAAGGACAAACAACAACAATGGGATGACTTTAGCTAAAAGTCTAAAGTGGGGGCACCTGGGTGGCTCAGTGGGTTAAGTGTCTGCCTTCAGCTCAGGTCATGATCCCAGGGTCCTGGGATCGAGCCCCACATCGGGCTCCCTGCTTCTCCCTCTCCCACTCCCCCTGCTTGTGTTCCTGCTCTTGCTCTCTCTCTCTCTGTCAAATAAATAAATAAAATATTAAAAAAAAAAAAGTCTAAAGTGAAATCCTGTAGACCAAGCAAACTGGGGCAGGAAACATGGAATAAAGGGGTACTGTGATATAGACCCTTATAGGTACTTAATAAAAAAATTTCTGAAAAGTTTGCTGTCAACATTTAAAAAATTATACTTTCTCCTTTGACTTTGGCAACTTTTAGAAGATATTTTTAATTAGTTTGCCCTCTGACTGGCAGGAATTCACAATTCTAGTTTTAGGTTTCTCTGCCTCCCATCTCAGAAAGGTACAACTACATTACTTTGAACTCCATAATGTGTAATTTGTGACTATTCCACATCGCTTCACAATAAACTACAATGTATAAATATGTGAATAAATGTATCAGATATTTAAAAACAGGAGTGTTGGAGTGCCTGGGTGGCTTAGTCAGTTAAGCGGCTGACTTGATTTTGGCTCAGGTCAAGATCTCAGGGTGGTGAGATCAAGCCCCATGTTGGGCTCTGCACTTGGCGTGGAGTGTGCTTGGGATTTTCTCCCTCCCTCTCCCTCTGCCCCTCCTCTCTGCTTGCACGTGCTGCTCTCTCTCTCTCAAATAAATAAATAAATCTTAAAAAAACAAAAAACAAAAACCAACCAAACAGGAGTGTAAAACACAAAAGGATTGCAAAGATGAGTGTCTACAGATTTAAGAAACAACTGACTTCCACAAATCAGGAATCTGATATATAAGAAAGAGATATGTTACCAAATCTGGTGTGTGTGTTAACTCTGATTCCTATCTTTCCCTCAATATTGGCTCTTACTAAATACTTTCAGTGCCTTGACTTAAAAATAACATTGCATTTCCTTCCATCTAGATTGCATTTATCTCAGACCAGTCTTTCCAATACTGGCTCCAAACAACTAAAGGCTTAGCTGCAAGGGTCTATACTCAAATGCACTAAGGGTACTGACTGTTTAAAAGAAATTATGTTAAATTTGTACATAAGGGGTCACAAAACTGTGAACAGTCACTTGTAATAAGGTCTTCCTATAATTTACACACTATAAGGTTCCCTCATTTGAAGTGTACAATTCAATGTTTTCTTATATATTTGCAAAGTTGTGCAAATTTTACATAATCTAATTTTAGAGCATGTAATAAGTTTTCAAGTCTGAACTTTTGTATACCTTATTTGAGGAGACATAACATACTTAGACAGCCATTCATCAGAAGTGCCTTCAAGTTGTTTGGTAAGAGGCCCATATATTTTCAGCATTCAACCAGTGGATTCACAGCACCATATACATATTTTCAACCTGTTTAAAACTCTGGTAGGAATAACTTTTTACTCAGCACAGTCAGTAAATAGACCATGTTTTTTTTACCCCACTTACATATGACTCCATTAAAAAAGTAAATCTCTCCTCACAGTCCTATAACTTGACCACTGTTGTCTCCTATTAGGATCATCTTCTATTTTCAAAACTACCTTTTTTCATGAAGTTAATCCTTTGCAAGCCAAATTGGAACTTACTGTGTGTGCTTAATAGAATTCATTTTTCTAAGCTTCTCCTGTTTTTCTGTAAAGTATTACGTTCCTTAAAGGTGGGGTCATAACATGAGATGACCACACTATCCAGCGATACCACTTCTGGGTATATAGCCAAAAGAACTGAAAATAGGGTTTCAAGGATATATTTATATATCCATGTTCATAGATGTATTGTTCACAATAGCCAAAATCTGGGAATAACTTAAGTGTCCACTGACAGATGAAAAGATAAAATGTTGTGGACACATACAATGGACTATTATTCAACCTTAAAAAGGAATGAAGTTCTGACACATGGTACAACATGGATGAACTTTAAAAACATGCTTAGAGAAACAGCCACTCACAAAAGGACAAATATTGTATAATTCCACATATGTACAGCACCTGGAGTAGTCCAATTCATAGCAAGTAGAATAATGATTACCACGGATTGGGGGTAGAGGATAACGGGGGCTATTGTTGAATAGGCACGGAGGTTCAGGTTGGGATGATGAAAAAGTTCCGGGGATGGATGATGGTGATGGCTGCGCAATATGAATATACAGTTGACTCTTGAACAAAATGGGGGGTTAAGAGTGCCAACCCCCGACAGAGTCAAAAATCCACATATAACTACCCAAAATCTTAACTGTTGACCAGAAGTCTTACTGATAACATAGACAGTTGATTAACACATATTTTGCACGTTATTTGTAATATATATGCTATATTCTTACAGTAAAGTAAGCTACAGAAAAGAAAATGTTAAGACAATCATAAGAGAAAATATATCTACAGTACTTTACTGAAAAATTGTGAGTATAATTGGATCTATGCAGTTCAAACCTGTGTTGTTCAAGGGTCAACTGTATTTAATGCCACTGAACTGTACACCTAAATATGGTTAAAATGGCAAATTTTATGTTATGTATATTTAACCACAATAAAAGAAAAAGTGGGGTTATTTAAGGTTCAAGCATCTAAAACAAGAGGATAAATCAGAGCTGGCCTTTAGAATACACTTTTTTCATTTTACTTTTCCCTTATGACAAGATGTCTATACAGTTTACCAAAAAAAATGTATCTTTATTAGCATTCAGTTCTTGCAATAAATGTATGACTCTTTGGAAGTTACATTCCCTTCCTCTTGGTTTCCCCCCATCAACTACTGAATAAAAGTATTTCTAAAAATACACATATAAAAATGTATCTTCTCTAATATTCAAATTATTATTTATATGTTCACTTTCAGGTTTTGTGTCTAAGTATCATATGAGAAGCAGCATGCCTTATGGTTAAGAATGTGGGCTCCAGTGTTAAGCTGCCCTGGTTAAAATCTTGACCCTACCATTAGTTCTCTAACTTGGGCTAGTTACGTACCCTCTCTGTGTCTTTCTTTTCTCATATAGGAAGATAATACCTACCTCATAGAATTGTCATGAGACTAAAATGAATAATACATATAAAGGGTTTACGAAAGTACCTGGCACAAAGTACATAACAAATTCCAAGAACGATCATTATTAGCACTTACAGAAAGGTTACATCCATAACTTGCTTATAAATGTAAGCATCTCTGATTTCTAACATAATTTTACGCTTTTAAAGGAAAAAACTGACTGTGCACCTACCCTATATATGATACTAGACTTATATTAAAAATCTTTCTCAAACACTAAAGATTACTTGTATTACTTGTATTTATGTTTTGACACACATAGTATTTCTGTATTCCCTGCATCATTTCATCAATCCACAACTTACTACTTTTTATGACAAGGGGACTAGTCTCCTTTTACTCTGGAAAACTTACGGTGTGGGCTGTGATTTTAGAAGATCTTTGGTAGTATTTCAGTATTTAGTGACTACTAACACCCTGGTGGAATAATGCTGCTGGAAGGTATTATAGGCATAGTTCTCCTTTTGCTTTTTGATAAAGAATAGTGATTTACAATTTTTTCAAGTTAAAATTAGTTGTTTATAGTAACCCTCTGACTCACCCACACTGCTCACGAAGATTGCTTTGAGAACTCCTTTTAATATCATATAGAAGTGGAAACTATGTAACAGTTCTGCCTTTCAAGAACTGTATAAGCTAGCTATTATCCCCAATGCAGATACTCCCTAGTCTCTAGGCATTCTCCATACTGCTGGGATTTACCAACAGTAGAGAACTGAATCCTATGGCATACCATCATGTACCATCTTGTTGATTCGACCTCATTACCAGTAGAGACCCATGGCTTTATTTCATTTAGAGTTATGCAACAATCTGCCCTGTAAGCTTGCCTAAGTCTGTAATCTTGCCTAAGCAAACTGTGACATCATGAATTCTGAAGTGGGAGTACATCATGCGCTAGCGTAGCTCTGCTTATTAGTTCTCATGGCCATAAAACAGACATACCAGTAATAGTTCAGTGAGCACTTCAATCTTCACCATAACTCTGTGCATCAGACAATATTATTTTTCCCATTTGCAGGCAAGGAAAATAGGCCTGATTAAGTAATTTCTTCAAGGTCACACTAAGCTGGGCCTCAAGCCCAGGTCTGTCTGACATCAAAGTTGATGTTACTAAACCATAATGTTGAATCTTCTCTTTCCTCTAAAATTTTTACCATTCTTTTTTCAACTTTTAATATCTTCAGTGTATGTTTTATGAACAATATCTACATTCTAACAGATGGCTTTCTAAGAGATAGTAAGAGATGACTCTGTCTTATTTTTCTTATCTTTGTTTTTTTGCAAAGGGTTACTTGCAACTGTGTGTGAGCTAAGATGCTGCTTGTATCTTACCAGGGAGAGGAAGGAGGGACCAGAAGGGTGTGTTACTATAAAAACTCGAGAATCACCTATTAGATTCATTTCAACAAGCTCTGCTCAGCCTATTTTAATGTTTTTTCATGTATACATATCACCTCTTCAAACTGATAAAGTGTGGAGACAACGAAAACTACTATGGTGCACTTCTTTGTATGTGGCTCATCACTTAGCCCTGGGGACTTGCAATGATAAATGTGTAAGAAATGTTGTGACTGGTAAGGAAGACTATAGTGATCAATAAAGAACTGGTTAGTTGGAGACGGGACTTCAAAGGATGGCTAGAACTGTAAATTTGAATGGGTGGAATAGAGAGAGCATTATCTAGCAAGCCGATCTAACATTACTAAAGGTTCATCCCTGAACACTTTCTGAAGGTTCTAAGCTGAAGGCTTTATGGCAAATGTTCAGGAGTAACTCTTGAGACATTACCACCTGGCACTCTTCCTAACAGGGAATTTCAGATTAATTGAAATAGTGGCCCTCTGATGAAGAAGAGGAAAAAGAAAGAGGAGAAAGTGGGTGGCTTGAGAGTCAGAAAACTTGAGTTTCTGTCATTACTGAGTCTATCCAGCTTTTTTTTTTTTTTTAAGGGAGGTGTAGAGGACTCAAGGAACCTTCCAAATCCGTCTGCCTTTGTCTTTCCTGTTTATATACGGAATAATAAACATAGTAAGACAGGAGGGAAAAAACACTCCCTTGGTATTCTTCACACAACTGGCCTCCGAGTGTTTCCAGAGGGATACTGGAAGTACTTGGGAGTTCAGCTTACGTTTTTTAAAGGACTTGCCCTTTTTTCTGGTTTCTCGCATCTCCTACGGTGTACTGGAAATGAACACTCACTGTCTCTCTGCCATTTACTTCATCTACTTCTGTCCCAGCCTTGCTGTCTGTCCCCTTGGGCAGGTCCCTCGCCTCTCTGAGGCCACCTATATAGAGGGGCAAGGTCAACTGCACACACCTCCTCAGGTGGCTGTGAGAATCGAATACTAGAACCCTCACGCTAACCTGAGGCGTTCCTGGGAGATCCCTTCTGCCTACGGTGTGACCGGGGGACAGAGCGCAGTGGACGTAGGTGCTCTGGCCGCCGGCCGCCTCCTCCAGCTCCAGGCCTCGCGTCCCGCGCGCCCCGCCCCCCGAAGAGCCCCGACCGCGCGGGGTATTCACCTACTGCGCTCTCGGCCGCCACCGCCACCGCCACTGCCGCCGCCGCCGCCTTCAACACGCGCGCCATCGTGGGAAGTGACCCACTGAAGCCCGACGTGCTTCTCCCGGGGAAAGGCGCTCAGTCGACGCGCAGGTCAACGCGGCCGGGGGCGGGGCCTACGAGGTTAGGGGGCGTGGCGAGCGTTGCTGCGTTCCTATGCTGCCGCGGGTGGGCTTGTTCTTATTTTACGTATTGAAGCCACCCAGTGCATCTAAAGCAGGAACTTAAACGAAGGACGCGTCACCCCTGTGGGCCCCTCAGGAATACAAAACAGAAAGTTTAGAGAAAGGCGCTAGAACTGACCAATGGCCCAGTGAAAGTTCTTGCGCTGCCATTGGCCCTGGCAGGGGGTGGGTCCGGAACCTGTACGCCGCGGAACCTTTGTCTCCAGGGTCCAGGTTGTGCGAGGCGCGTCTTTGTGGCGCGGTTTCCGGGCGGCCCTTTTCCTGTGCATGCGGCGCTGTGTCCCGAGTTGTAGACAGCAATGGCCCCGCGCGCCTGGCGTCGACGGACCTTGGAGCGGTGTGTGAAGGAGGTTGGTAAAGCCACCGGCCAGCCAGAGTGCTTTCTCACGTAAGTGAACGGAACCCGGGCTCGGGGTGCGGCCCGGGTCTCACGTGGGCGCGGACTGCTGGCCCCCAGCAAATTCTGGAGTAGGGGGAAGGTGAAGGGAAGCGTACATCTGTTTCCCCCAGATTTCAGATAGTTACGCTCCCCTAGCCTATCAAAAAATTTTAAATTGTTAAATGCTGTGCAGTGCAGATCTCCCAGTCGTGTAGTAACCAAACTAAGCTCAATTAGGAACGCCCAGAGCCTTCCATTGAGTCTTACGCACCCCCCTACTCTTCAGGTGCGCGTGCACTAGGTTGGTTGCTCTTTTCTCCAACACGCTCCCAAACCACCCAGTGCTTACTTACTCATCATACTTTATTGAAAGTATTAAATTTGTTGTCTATCACCCCCCCCCCCCCACGATGAGCTTCTTGAGAATTAGGACTTTCATCTCTCTTCCCAACACAAGCTCTTCGTATTTTGTTGAAGGACTTTAAGTATGATCTATGAAAGTGTGGCTCTCAGATTTGTGTTTCATACCCGACCTTTCCCTTGAGCTTCAGGCGCACAGCAGCTACAGCCATGTACGCTCTCAGCATCTCAAATTTCCTATGTCCGAAATGACCTGTTGTTTCTGTTTTACTCTCTTATACTCTGCCCTCCCTGAAATCTTTTCCACATGCACCTGCCTTCCCTACCTGAGTAACTGGCACCTCTGGTTTTTCAGTCGTTCAGACATATAACTAAGCTGCTTCCTTGATATCTTCCTTTTTCTCCTTTCTACCTCTAATTCATCAGCAAATTTTGTTGGTTCTATCTTCAAACTATATTCTAAATTTGCTTGTCGCAGTATCTGCTGCTCTAACCCCTGCACAGTTGTTTATCATCCTTTGCCTGGATGGCTGTGTCAACCTAATTACTGTACTTTCGTTCCTTTCCTTCAGTTGGCCATCTTTCCAAAGTGTAAATTACATCATTTTCCTCCTTTGCTTAAAATCACCTGATGGCTTCTCTTTACATTTAAAACAGCGAACTCTTACCTCTGAGCCCTGCATGATACAGCTCCCATCTACCTCCCTGGCCTTCTGCCTCCTTCACACACTCCAGCTATGCTGGCATTTCTGTTCCTCAAACTCACCAAGTTCATTTCTATCTTAGGAAATTTGTTCTCACTGTTTTTTCTGCTTGAAATACATGTTTCCAGGTCTTTGTAAGACTGTCTCCTTATATACAGGTCTCATTTCAGATGTTACATCTTCAGAGGTATTCTCTGACCACTCTTGCCAAAGCAAGTGTTAACCATTGGCTGACTGAATGGAGTGGCATATAATATAGCAGAGTTGAGCATTTAAGGCTAAGATTCACTATATATCTTTAAGCAAAGAGGTGTGTAATAGTTTGCCTGCCTAAAATCCATATAGCAGATCACAGACTTAGTTATATATTAGTGTGGTGCCTCAGCAAGATAATACACTGTTAGGGGCCAGAATCTATACTTAAAATTGATATTTCATTCAAGTTTGATTTTGCACAAGAGTTGGGCTTCTTTTTCCTTTTAATTCACAGTGCTGTGAAATTATTGCCTATAATTATAAATCTCTTTAAACTTCCTCCTTGTGCTCCCTTAATAGGATTCAAGATGAATTGGCATCAAACTTCACTTCATTAACAAAAGTACTTTATGATTTTAATAAAATATTAGAGAATGACAGGATCCACGGAAGTCCGTTAAAAAAACTGGTGATAGACAATTTTGATGATGAGCAGATTTGGCAACAACTAGAATTGCAAAATGAACCAATTTTACAGTACTTCCAGGATGCAGTTAGTAAAACCATTAAAGACAAAGACATCAGTCTTCTTCCAGAGATTGAAGAGCAGGAGTGTGAAGAGGATGGCTCAGAGGTGGAGTCTGATGGCCAGGAGGCCCTCATACAAGATCTGGAGGAGGAGGAAGTGGCTGACCTGAGTGTTGATGATTCTAAAGTGGATGAGAGAGCTAAAAACTTGAGCAAAGTTGATCTGAGGAAAAGTCCAGTTTTCAGTGATGAGGATTCTGATCTTGATTTTGATATCAGCAAATTGGAGCAACAGAGCAAGGTGCAAGACAAAGTGCCTAGGAAACCAAGAGAGAAGTCCATAGTAGATGATAAATTTTTCAAACTGTCTGAAATGGAGACCTTTTTAGAAAACATGGAAAAGGAAGAAGAACAAAAAGATGATGAGGAAGAGGAAGACATTGATTTTTTTGAAGACGTTGATTCTGATGAAGATGAGGGAGAACTGCTTAGAAGTCAAAAACCTAAGGTAAAGTTTTGGGAGAAGAGAGAGAGGACTTTCTACCTCCTTAAATTAGATTTTGTTTTATTTCTTGAGAAGAGGTTTAAAATACCTCAAAACTTACCAGGGTGTAAATGAAATATTTAGATCAGTTGAAAACAATGGACTAGAAAAATTAAACTGAAGCTATCATTTCCTTACCACATTGTTTTGTAGCGTAAGAACCATAATCACACGTTAGAGGTATTCAGAATTTCCCTCAAACATATTCTCACCAAACGCTAAAAATAACAGGGAGAGGAAGGCATTTGTATACTTTAGGCAGGGATATTTTGGAAATAATTATAGTTAGAAGCTTTAGAGTTAGGAATATTGTGCTCTGTCTTACCATTTATAAATGAATCTATGCTTCCTTCCAGTTTGTTCAAGTCTAGTAGTTCTTACAGTTTTATGGTAGTGTTGCCAGTTACCAGTTCCCTGTATGTAATAGGCATTCACATATATGCATGATTTAATGTGTTCTTCTGTTCTTAATTGAAAGTTTGAAAAGTCTTTTTACTTTAGTCAGGTAAAAGTTCCAGAAACTTGAAATACAAAGACTTCTTTGATCCAGTTGAAAGTGATGAAGAACTAGCAAGTGTTCATGATGATGAACTGGGTTCAGATGAAGATGAGGAAGAAATTGCTGACGAAGAAGGAGAAGGGAGCATTTCTGAAACGTGAGTATTTTGAATCCTGTAAGCTAGAACCATCCAATTATATGTGTGTACTCATAATTGTCAAATACGTTTGTCCTAAGAAGTTACATTCTCTAAGATCAGATAGTCACAAGGTAGCCAGAAGAAAGTCTCCGAGTTTAAAGGGGCTTTAGAGATAATCTGATGAAGATAAATATCGCTGGCAGTGGCAATCAAACCTTTATTACAAGGAGCTTTTGTTTGCTTTTTGTGCCAATAAAAATACTGTTATTATTGTGAGATACATTTGTATTATAGATTGAGGAATAATTTATTTTTTATATATTGCATACTTTTTGTTCCGTTTCACCTAAATAATACCTTCTGTTCCTTAATTGAATGACTGGAATTCTGACTATTTGCATAAGGTATACAGAATATCTTTTCTAGAGAATTGGTTTTGTTTTCCTAATGAAAAATAGTGTATTATCCTTTCATAAGTGTTTTGGTACTATAGTGATGAAGATAATGACCTTGAAGAGAGTGAAGACAGTAAACAACATAAAGAAACCTCGAAAAGAGTGACCTTTGCTTTGCCAGATGATGAGGAAAGTGAGGATACAAATATCTTAAATGTACAGAAAGATTCTGATGAAGTTAAATCCTCTTTTGAAAAAAGACAGGAAAAGGTAAGAATTGGGAATTTAAGGAATTTTTTATATGTTTACCAGAACTGTGCAACTCACAGATAACTAATCTACTCTTTTTCTTGGTGGAATGCTTACTTATCCTTTATTTATATATTTATTTTTTAAAAGATTTTATTTATTTGACAGAGAGAGATCACAAGTAGGCAGACAGGCGGGCAGAGGGAGAAGCAGGCTTCCTGCTGAGCACAGAGCCCGATATGGGGCTTGATCCCAGGATGGGGGAGGGGATCATGACCTGAGCCGAAGGCAGATGCTTAAAAAACAAAAATCTGGGCGCTTGGGTGGCTCAGTTGGTTAAGCGACTGCCTTCGGCTCAGGTCATGATCCTGGAGTCCCAGGATTGAGTTCCGTATTGGGCTCCCTGCTCAGCAGGGAGTCTGCTTCTCCCTCTGACCCTCCCCCCTCTCATGTGCTCTCTCTCTCTTTCTCGCTTGCTCAAATAAATAAATAAAATCTTTAAAAAACGATAAAAAACAAAAATCTTGGTGCTACTCTCTACCAGACACTGTATAAAAATCCCCATGTGGAAGGTAGCTAATTTGCAAAAGTGCTGTATTTCCCAACGTGTGGCTTTCGATTTGTGTAAAAACCTGTTTTTTCCCTCTGTCCCTGGTTTCTTTATACTAATGGCATTTTTTTTTTTAAATTAGCTGTCCTGTGAACCTCTCTTTGTAGCTGTTTCAACTGCTCATAAGGATACTGCTTCTTTGAGATAATTTGTAGATGGCTCCACATAGTCTGAATGTTAATTAATTCCATCTCAAACACATCTTCCAAAGTTGATAAAAATTATTTCCTTATGAAATGATTTCAGACAAATGAAGTGCCATTTGCAAAAATAGATATAGCCTGGTTCCAATTATTTGTCTTTGCCATTTAATCACATTAAAATTATATCACACAATTAGAAACGAGGCTAGGCAAATAATCAGTTATATCATGGATATCAAAAGAATTATTAGAAAAAGAGAATGAGTTAAATCCATGATTGTCAGATTGTTCCTAGAAGAGAGAGAAGATTTAAAAGGGGGTGGGCAGCATTGGGAAAGAAAATGTGAAATTGCATTGAGTTAGTGTCCTAACCTCCCTGTGTCTTCTTAAAAAAAAAAGAAGAAAAAAAAGGTTTAGTTTTACTGGAGAATTATATCAGACTTTCAAGAAATACATGATTGAATGTTGTTTGATCAATTCCCACGTATAAAGAGTACACCTTCTAAACTTTTTTTTTGTGAAGCTATTATAACATGATACCCAAACCTGACGTTAAAACACTCACACACAGTTTCATTTATGAATAGTGATGTAAATATCCAAAATAACACAGTGGAAGACTAACAACACCACAACTAAATGGGCCTCATTTTCTTGATTTCAGGATTAGAAAATCTATTACTATAATTCTTGGTTTTAACAGAATAACAGAATAAGGAGAAAACCATACGGTTCTTTTATATGTCAAAAAGACATTTGATGAAATTCAGTATCCATTCCTAATTTTCACTTGTAGTGAAATACAAACCCATCTAGCCAGAAAGTGCTGTCATGCTCAGTGGTGAAATTCTAGAAATACCCTTTTAAAATGAAGAATAAGAACGTCCACAATTACCGTTACCACTGTTTTTTAACATCCTTGTAGAAGTATTAGTGCAACTACGAAAGAGAAAGATAAGAGGTAAGAAAAACTAAAGTGAGTGTTAATATTTGCAAAAGATACTGGAAAAACCTAAGCAGATGAATTGAAAGCTATTAGGAAAAATATGAGAACTCAGTAAAGTGACTGAGAAGGCTGGCATTCTGTACGCTATAAAGTCATTATAGATGTCTTTTAGTAGTTAGAGATAATTTGGATTTGGGAGTGTGGGGTCAAAAGAGGCTCCTTCAGTTACTAATGTTCTAATAAATTAATCTTGTAATGCTCTAATAATTAAAATTGATAGTGGCTTGTGAATAGATAGACCATTAGATTAGAATAGAGCCCAGAAATCTACCCAAATTCTTCTGGGGGAATTCAGTATATTATAAACATGGCATTTCAAATCAGGGAGGGAAAGAGGAGGGTCATCTGCAGCGTGTTACCCCACCTCAAGTGTCAGGAATAGGAGGTCACTGTTGGCTTAGTAATAAAACGGTGGCAAGATTAAAACAAGCGTATTGAGGAATAATGCGTTTCTTGTTTCTGTGCTTTTAAAGATGTTAGTTGAGGGGCACTAGGCGGCTCAGTCGTTAAAAGTGTCTGCCTTCGGCTCAGGTCATGATCCCAGGGTCCTGGGATCGAGCCCTACATCAGGCTCTCTGTTCAGCGGGAAGCCTACTCTCCCTCTCCCAGTCCCCCTGCTTGTGTTCCCTCTCTCTCTGTCTCTCCCTCTGTCAAAAAAAAAAAAAAGTCAGTTGCTTTTATTTAGCTATAATCCTGATTTTGTTTCCTAAATGTGTAATAACTTTTTCTCTTTCTTAGATGAATGAAAAAATTGCATTTTTAGAAAAAGAGTTGTTGGAAAAAAAACCTTGGCAGCTTCAAGGGGAAGTGACAGCTCAAAAGCGCCCAGAGAACAGCCTCCTAGAGGAGACTCTGCACTTTGACCACGCAGTCCGCATGGGTACGTGAGCCCACTGGGCTCCTGCAAGTGTGTGTTTCCTCGCTTTTTCTACGGTTCTATTTCATAGAAAGAGAAGTTTTATTTATTTCCCTCCAACTTTTCGTTTTAAAAACTTGTATCATATGATCTCACTGATATGAGGAATTCTTTTTTTTTTTTTTTTAAAGATTTTATTTATTTATTTGACAGAGAGAGACACACAGCGAGAGAGGGAACACAAGCAGGGGGAGTGGGAGAGGGAGAAGCAGGCTCCCCGCAGAGCAGGGAGCCCGATGCGGGACTCGATCCCAGGACCCTGGGATCATGACCTGAGCCGAAGGCAATCGCTTAACCAACTGAGCCACCCAGGCGCCCGATATGAGGAATTCTTAATCTCAGGAAACAAACTGAGGGTTGCTGGAGTGGTGGGGGGTGGGAGGGATGGGGTGGCTGGGTGATGCACATTGGGAGGGTATGTGCTATGGTGAGTGCTGTGAATTGTGTAAGACTGGTGAATCACAGACCTGTACCTCTGAAACAAATAATACATTATATGTTAAAAAAAAACAAAAAACAACAAAGATAGTAGGAAGGAAAAAAATGAAGGGGGGGAAATTGGAGAGGGAGATGAACCATGAGAGATTATGGACTCTGAGAAACAAACAGGGTTTTAGAGGGGAGGGGGGTGGGAGGATGGGTTAGCCTGGTGATGGGTATAAAGAGGGCCCGTTCTGCATGGAGCACTGGATGTTATATGCAAACAATGAATCATGGAACACTACATCAAAAACTAATGATGTAATGTATGGTGACTAACATAATAAAAGTAATTTAAAAAATGTAAAAAAAACTTGTAAACATACAGAAAAGTTGAAAAAACAGTACAGCAGACATATAGATGCTGTTGAGCTGGATTCACCAGTTAACATTTTGATATATTTGCTTTCCCTGCCTTGGGTATGTATGTGATCGAGTGTGTGTACTTTTCTCCCCTGAATCACTTGAAAATAACTTACCAATATCATGATTCTTCACTCCTCTAAGTACTTTTACATGTATCTTCTAAGAATTAGGACATTCTCTTACATAGCCACAGTACTATTAATTCACCCAGCAATTAGTAGTTTCCAGGTGTTGATGCTGTTGGTTCAAGAACCACCCTTTGAGAACCACTGGCCTAATTTATACCTACCTAATGAGTACATGTTATATTTCCCTTAGCACCTGTGATCACAGAGGAAACCACCCTTCAACTGGAAGATATCATTAAGCAGAGGATAAGAGATCAGGTCAGTAAGAATGAAACTTAATTTAAAATTCACTGAAATTTTTAGAAATAGTATGAGACTATTTTGGGACCATCACTCTTTGTTTTCATAGAAATTTTGTTTGTATCAATTCTTCATTTATTTTTTATTTTTTATTATTTTTTAAAGATTTTATTTATTCATGAGTGACAGAGAGAGAGAGAGAGAGAAGCAGAGGGAGAAGCAGGCTCCCAAGGAGCAGGGAGCCCGATGCGGGACTCGATCCCAGGACCCTGGGATCATGACCTGAGCCGAAGGCAGCTGCTTAACCATCTGAGCCACCCAGGTGCCCATCAATTCTTCATTTAAAGCCCTAAATCTACCCTGAAGTCTACTACTAAGTATACACTATCCACATTTTTTGTTGTTGCTTTTGTTGTGTGAGACACTGCCTTTCACTAGTGCTCTGGAAAGATGGGCAGTTGTTCATGAGGAGAAGGGGGCGGCCAGAGCCACTGCTGATCTTCCTTGCCCCTTGTTCACCTGTCTGTTGGTGCCTGGTGAAGCTGGTGGAGGGTGATAGGTATGGTGACTGGTTCTTACCTGATGTGGTCATACTTGGGACCTTTCACCTAGGCACAGTATCTGCTGGGACAAATAAAGGGTTTATTTTTTTTCAAATGTTAAAAACCTAGCAAAAGGGCATCTGGGTGGCTCAGTGGGTTAAGCGTCTGCCTTCAGCTGAGGTCATGATCCCAGGGTCCTGGGATCAAGCCCTGCATTGGGCTCCCTGCTCAGCGAGGAGTCTGCTTCTTCCTCTACCTGCTGCTCCCCCTGCTTGTGCTCTCTCTCTCTCTCTCTGTGTCAAATGAATAAATAAAATCTTAAAAAAAAAAAACCTAGCAAAGTTTTTGTTTAAGGATTGATCTTAGATCCCTAGAGCAACCACTTAAAAAGTATAGGAAGATAATCAAAAACACAATTGATACATTAAAATCGAATACTGAAAAGTGTTTCAATAACCCCAAATGAGGAAGGAAAGGATGCATGTGATGATGGAGGTTGAGAAGTCCCATGGTTTGCCATCCGCAAGCAGAAAACCAGGAATGCTGTATCCCAAGACCTGAGGACCAGGGGAGCTGGTGATAAAGTTCCAATCCGAGCCCAAAGGTCTGAAAACTAGAAGCACTGATGTCCAGGGACTGGAGAAGATGGATGTCCCAGCTCAAGTAGAGAGCAGATTCACCCTCCCTCCCACTTTTTGTTCTGTTTGGGCCCTCGGTAGATTGGATGATGTCCACCTGCGTTAGTGAAGGCATCTTCTTTACTCAGTCTACTAGTTCAGATACTGATCTCTTCCAGAGACATCCACACAGACATACTCAGATATAATGTGTTACCATCTAGGCATCGCTTCACCCGGTCAAATTGACATGTGAAATTAACCATCACAGTGGGCAACTGGGAATGAAACCTGCTGGGGACCCCTGAGGATCTATGTAGAATTTGTCTCAGATTTACCCCACCAGGAATGGATCTGCTGGAATATTTATCCACTAAACTCAGTCCTTAATGGGTCAGGAGCAGCCTCTGGAGGTGTTACGTGCTAGACACCTCAGAGCTGTCTTGAGCACAGGCAGGCAAGATCCCCTGGCATTCCAGAAACCCACAGGATAAGCAGAGTCCCAGCTTGATATGGGAAGCTGTCAGCATGTACAGACATGATTTCCCTGCAGCTACAGGTGAACTCAGAGATGGGCCGGGGATATGAAGCAGGGCATCTACACACTCTGCTACAGAGGTGTTCAATAAATATCAATCACATGGGAAAAGAAAGAATTGATCTTATTTTGTGAACTTAGAATAAAACAGGGTGTGTGACATGTACAATAAGGGATGGCTTTAAAACGTGTATGTTTGCTCCAAATAGGAAGAGTTTGAAGGGTAGATACTATATGTGGACTATCCTTAAATTTGAATGCAACAAGACAAACAAAAAGTATTGACTTCTAAACAAACCGTGATGGGGAAATGGGGAATTAAAGTTGGTAACCAGGAGAAAGATGCATTTAAAACAAAAACAAAAAGGAAACTTAAGTAATGCTCTCTTTGCTTTTCATTAGTACTTATTTTTTTGTGACTTGAATAGTCATTTTGCAGGTTGAAATTAATTACTTTTTGCTATAATTTGCTTACTCTGGATTGACCATAAATATTCCAGGGGAAGAGTCTTATGTGAGCCTAGAATGAAATGATAGATTCTGTTAATTTATGTGCCTTCCAACTTGTACATTGCAGGCTTGGGATGATGTAGTACGTAAAGAAAGACCTAAAGAGGATGCATATGAATATAAAAAACGTTTAGCGTTAGACCATGAGAAGAGCAAATTGAGCCTCGCTGAAATTTATGAGCAGGAGTACATCAAACTCAACCAGGTAAGGAAGCCCAGAAGGCAAAGCCATCATTATTAAAAAAAGAGAAGTAGAGAATCAGTTCTACTGGTTCCACCCTGATGGCTGAAATTCATGAAATAAATCTTGAGCTCTTGGTTCACCTCATTTAAATGTGAGAAAGTATGTTAGGGATAGAGGGGTTATAATATTGCCACTGAATTTGAGGGGGTAGGAGAGCTTATTTTGCAATTATTCATTGGTCACCTAATTGTTCCACAGCTAATTACTCTCCAGCAATTATTATAGTAGTCCTACAATTTTAAAATCAGTTTTCATTAATACTTTAGAAGTTACTGATAGAACATTATCTGTGAAATTCATTCAGATTTTTGGTCTGGTGGGTTATTTGGTTTTTGATTCTTGTTTCTTTTCACTTAGATTCTTAAAAAAATACCTGGTTAAATAGGACAAAGTCGTATTTCCAATAATAATATATTACCAGTATAGTGATTGAATTATTTCTTCACACTTGATTTATTGAGGATGTGGTCAGTATGTGCTTGGGGATGAGATGGCGTTTTTATTTGCAAAAGCCATTTAAGATTCCTGCCAGATTTGATTAATTAATGTCACTTTAGCAGCAATAGCCATCAGTGCCCTGGATGCCACTGTTAAGTTGAAGATCTGGAAAGATTTGAATTAATTCTTCCTGGCTGCTTTGCAACCCAAAGTGGTAGTTGAAGGAACATGTCATTGAACATTGCCTGGCTACTTTGAGAGGGTTCAGTAAATAGAGAAAGCATTTTGTAATGATGAGAGTTAAAAATTAAATATGTAACACGACAGCTATACCAGCCCTGTACATACTAGTTTTATTTATGTCTCAGAATTCAGCAGCCAGTTCACAAGGTTTTTTGTTTTTGTTTTTTTTTAATTTTATTTATTTATTTGAGAGAGAATGAGATAGAGAGCCTGAGAGGGGGGAGGGTCAGAGGGAGAAACAGACTCCCTGCTGAGCAGGGAGCCCGATGCGGGACTCGATTCTGGGACTCCAAGATCATGACCTGAGCCGAAGTCATTCGCTTAACCAACTGAGCCACCCAGGTGCCCCCAGTTCACAAGTTTTTGAGCATGAACTTAATTTAGGCTAATTCTAGAGCCATTCCATTAAGAGTTCATCTGGGGATGATGATGAGTATTTTCCAAAGTTTTGTATCCATCCTGGAGGTAGTAAGCAAGCTGATGGTACGCAGCACGTGAATGAACTTCTAGTTGTATGTGTATGATTTCACAGCCATTACTATCTGGGATGAGGCAAGCAACATGTTCAGGATAAAAAAATGAGTTAAGTTAAAATAAAGAAGCACTGGCAAGTGCTTAGATGTGGCTGAAGGCGGGCTCTGATGACAGACATTGGAAACAGACTCCAGTGCGTCTCTGGCATCAGGGTTGTGGAGGCAAAGAGCCAGTCACTTCCCCATTCTGGTGTGTTTTGTTTTGTTTTTGTTATGCCTTAATAAAACAAATAAAAACAGTCTTAGCCTTTTAGAATAAGCATTATGGGCAAAGGGAAAAGGGGATTGTGAGCATTTGGGTTGTTTCTACCTTTTGGCTATTGGGAATAATGTTGCTCTGAACAGATGTTTACATGTGTTTGAGAACCTCTTTTTAAATTCTCTTGGGTATTTACCTAAGGATGGAATTGCCAGGTCATATGGCAGTTCTCTGTTTAACTTTCTGAGGAGCTGCCTTATTCATTTCCATTGTGACTGCACCATTTACATCATCCCCAGCAGTGCACAACAGTTCCCAATTCCTCAACATCCAACTCTTGTTACCCAGCTCCCCTTTCTTTTAATGGTAGCCGTCTGAGTGGGAGTGGCTTAGTTCTTGACAGAAGTAAATGCCAAGGGGATTAAATTGTAAGTTCTGAATCATAGAGGGAGGGGCTGCTGCAGCTCCTAAAATGCACACCACATTGCTTCTTTGGCTGGTGCTGGCACTGTCATGGTATTGATAACTTTGGTTCTGCCTTGTAATGTGTCTTGAAGCCAAAGCCTTGATGATGAGAAGTGGGGACATACCCTTATTGACCCTTGTGTTTTGTCTATGATGTGTATTAAGCTGCTCAGTCTGATGTTGTTAAACTTATTTCCTAAGCAAAAAACAGCAGAAGAAGAAAATCCAGAGCACAAAGAAATTCAGAAGATGATGGATTCCCTCTTCTTAAAATTGGATGCCCTCTCAAACTTTCACTTCATCCCTAAACCAGTAAGTGTGTTAACAATTTTGTGTGTAGTCAGAGCAGATATGACCTTAATTCCTCTTTGAGCTTCTGTGGGGCTAGCTCTTTGTTTGGTTTTAGGATATAAACCTGTAGGAATTTCTAGTCCTAGACAGTTCTGGCTTCCTCTGCTGATCGACCCTGATCTCCAGATGGGCCCTTGCCAGACCTAAAGTCTTAGCCACGGGGTCTCTTCATTTCTCACTCTTTTCTTGTTGTTCAGCCTTCAGTTGTATTTTCCTCCTGTGGTTCGTCTGGAGACTTGTAATGTCTGTACCTGGTATTTTCTGAATACCTGCTATTTGCCATATTAAGTCCTTTATGTATGTTAACCCCTTTTCCCCAATTTTATTAAGATATAATTGACATGTAACACTGTGTAAGTTTAAGATGTACAACAGTGGCTTGATAATATAGGTTCCCCCACCACCAGAAAGCAAAATGTTCCTATAAAACCTTTCACAAACCTAAATGGGGTAAAGCAAAAAAGCGATTACCATTAATTAAATGGAATTTTTTTTTAGCTTTTCAGACCCCAAAAATAACCTGTTCTAGGCTTTTCTGATACTTTAGGACCAGTCTTGTAATGGATGTACAAATAAATCGAGATAAAGCACAGATGCTCACAGACACTGTTTAAAGCTATGGTGGCTTGATGCTGAGATACCAGGTGTAGTTCCTGAGGAAGGAGCTGGGCAGGGCCGCTCACTGCAGAACAGATGCTGAATGCTATTTTTGCTTTCACTTTTTTTATAAAAGTGAAAATTCTTTTCAGATATCTGTCAGTTAACAAAAACAGGTACTAACGTAGGTCTTTTTGTGAAAGCAACGTGGCCTAGTGTGAACTTTTGAAAGGCATGGCATACCTGGGTGTGTATATTGGGGAATGATTACCATGGTAAGTTTAGTTAGGGGCGCCTGGGTGGCTCAGTCATTGGGTGTCTGCCTTCGGCTCAGGTCATGATCCCAGGGTCCCAGAGTTTTATTAAAATACACTCCAAGGGAGGAGCGGGCCAGTCAAGAGAGACAAAGGCCCCAGAAACTCTGGGGTGTGGGCTTATATAATTTTTTTCTTTTGGGAGGGTCCTAGGGTGGCAACATTTGAGTGATAGGCCTGGATTATTAATAATTAGCCAGGTATTCATGTCCTTTCCAAAATGTTTTCTAAGTGCCTGCAAGAGTGGGCAACCACAACATTATTTCTATTCTAGAGACATAGGTCAAATAAAGACTAAACCTACTGCTAGATGGGTAGAATGTGGCGGTCCCTGGGCAGGGCTCTGGCAGGACATCTAAGGTCCATCCTCCTGTCGCGTGCCTAGTTTCCTGCCTAACAAGATCACACAGTATTTGTCTTTCTCTGTTTGACTTATCTCACTTAGCATAATGCCCTCAGGGTCCATCAGTGTTATCACAAATGGTAGGATTTCCTTCTTTTTATGGCTAAATGGTATTCCACTGCGCGTCCCTGCGCGTGTATTTATATATGCACCATAGTATCTTTGTTTTCATCTGTTGATGGACACTTCTATTGTTTCCATGACTTGGCTGTTGTAAATAATGCTGCAGTGATCTTGGGGGTGGAGATATCTCTTTGAGCCAGACAGGAGCACCAGCTTGGCTCTACAGATGGGCAAGGCTGCAGGCTGGGATCTCGACTTGAACACTCCTGCGAGGAGCAACAGTCTGCCAAGATCCAAGCACTGGTTGCTAGAAGCCCTGCCCTTGTTCTTCATCCCAGTCTGATTCTCAGTGGTCAAGCCCCACAGATTCCCTCCACAATCCCCGTGACACAGACGTGATTGGGCCTGCCCAGAAGTGTCCTGCAATTATGGGGAGTAGAATGCCACCTTGGGCTCCCTTCCCACTGGAGAAACCATAGGCCAGGTCTCTCTCAATGGGGCACGGTGCTGGCCTGGGAGAGGGAGATATGGTGAGAGTGTAGCCTCTCCTACCCTTCTAATGTAGTCCTTCTCAGTCTCTGTGGTCCGGAGGGTTGCTTCAGCCTCACCCTCCGGTTCTGGGATTTTCCCAGTGCTATCTCATCTATGGATAGTTGCTAGTTAGTTTGTCTTGTGAGGAGGACTAAAGTTGGGATTGATGATGGTAGTGGCCCTGCCCATTAACTCTTCATCCACAAAACACTAAGGCAGATAGTAGTCTTTCTGTTTTGCAGATGAGGAAACCAAGGCTTATTAGGACATTGGGAGGGTTGGATCTAACTGGGTCCGTGTTCTCCCCGTTGCATCATGTTCCCCGCACCAGGCCCAGATCTCCAGTGATCTTGTCTGTCTGTCTGACTCCCCCACGCTTGGCTCAGTGCTTCTATACTTTTTAGAGCTTCCTTTCCTTCTCACTATCCTCTGTGAACCCATAAAACATGCTGTGCCATCCTTTTGGTACTTGCTCACCTATTGCCCCTTTGTGTCCCTTGTGTTTTCTAGAAATGAGGTATCGTGAATTTCAGGGACTAGTCTAGAAGTCAGAAACCTGAATTTGATTCTGCCCCTAACTAGCTTTGTGAATTAGGCAAATTGCTTCACTTTTCATCTATACAGAAAAGGTAATCACCAAAATCCTTCTGATTCTTTGATGGCTAGGTGTTCTGTCATGTGTGAGTATCTTGTCTTTTCAGACACTCAGCATTTATCACCTGCTTTTTTTTTTTGTTTTTGGTTAATCAGGTGTAATTTATGACAGTAAGTTTTTGGTGGCAGGAGCCATCTTTAGATACCAAAGCTCCTAGTGTAGGCTAGGTAATAGATGAAGAAAAAATAGGAATTCTCAACCCCTCTTGGCCAGCAGGTCTTACTGTGAAAAAGTTATTGATGTGAAGAACATGATCCCTTCCTGTGCCTTAAAGGCCCCACGTGATCTGGCTCCCTCTCACCCCTCTGGTCTCCACAGCTTTCTGCCCCCAGCCACACTGGTCTTCTTCCAGTGCCTTCAGTGGGGCAGGACGCCCCCTTCCTCACACCTTCCTGCTGGGTTCTCCTCTGCTTGTTAGGCTGTACTTCCTTATTTCCATGGCTGGCTCCTTCCTATCTCTGGGGTGTCAGGTTGAATGCCATCTCCCTCCTCCCTGCATTCATTTCCCTCATAGCACTGTGATCGCCATTGGTCGATTGACGATCGTTCTCTACTCGTTTCCAAGCCTGCACAAACGTATTTTGTTCACCGCTGTTTCCCTGCTGTGTCCATCACACTAACACGGAGCCTGACATGGGGAAGTACTCAGACCTTCCTTGGAACCTTGGGAATTGAAGAAGGAGGGAATGTATTTGGGCCTACATGACCCAGTTTGAAAGCCTTTCTTATTCCTCTTCAGAAATACAGAATTTTCGGTACAGGTTCCCCTTAATATGAACTTTTTTTTTCATATTCAGTTTCATATTTCATGATCTCCTTAAACCCTGTTGACCATTCATCATTTTTTGTGTTGTTGTTATTTTCTGGGCTATCTCCATTTTCTTTATATTTCTCTTTAAATTGTAGAATGGAATACAATGTTCCTAATAAATAAGTAAACAGTGGTCCAATGGAAGAAATTATTTCTTTCAGACTCTGACATTTTTTCCTGTTAGAATCCAGGATCCTGTTGTGTGAATGACTTGTTGTTCTCTCTGAAATTTCCTGGGGCACACATCTGCTAGTTGATTGTCATATGGCCAGGACTGCGGTAAGGAAAAAGGGTGTGTGAAGGAGTCAGTGACACTCTCTGCAGTAGAGCCCCTCTCTCTTCAGTCCTGTGTTCTTTCCAGGGCACACTTCCATCTTTTACTCCACTTAAGCGACAGAGCCCCTGTCCCTGCCCCCTGGTGCTCCTCAGAGATGTGCAAGAATTAAATGCAAAGAGCATTAGTGTAAGTGTTAGGTAAATAATCACTGGTGTCCTGTTATTACCATGATCAGTATGAAGCTTGTTTTAATTTCTGTCTTTCCTGGGCATTTCTTTCCACAAAAAAAAAAAGGCTCTTCAGTTAATATTGCATAACATTTCTCCTTTTTACAATTAATAGGTTTGATTTACTTCAATACTGTTTTAGTTTTCCAAAGCAGTTCTGTATCATCTCACATTTGTTTGTAAAGCTAGGTTTTCAGTAGCTGGAAGATGAGGAAATTTGTTTATCAAGTAGCCTATTTTTGACTCTTGTTCTGATAAGCATTTTTCCTTGCATCTTTTTCTATATATTTCTTATAGCTGGCCTTTTTTCTATGACCAAAGGCAGGATAATATTCACAAAAATCTATTTATTTAACATTAGATAGGATTGTTGGAAAATGTCCACATCCGTGGCAGATGGGAATAGTTTAGTGCAGTAGGCAAAAGAACTGGTGTTTGAATATGGCAGGAATGTCCTGCAAACGTGTAGAAATAGGTCTTCTTGGTGCAGCAGTGAGACAGAGAAGACCCTCAAGTACTCAGATACCAAGATTCCTCAAGCAGGAATGCCCACCAACACTGCCATCATTCCAGTTAGCTTAAGATTTTTGCTATCAGCCATCTCACATTTTAAATAATCTCCATAAACTTTTATTTTTTTTAAACCTAGGAGAGCTTTTGTAAAAGATTTATTTATATGAGAGTGAGTGAGTGAGTGGGGGGAGGGGCAGAGAGAATCTTCAAGCAGACTCCCTACGGAGCAAGGAGCCCTATAGGGCACTTAATCTCATGACTCACGAGATCATGACCTGAGCCAAAACTGAGTCAGACTTTTAACCAACTGAACCACCAAGGCGCCCCGCCATAAAGTATTTTATGTATTATGCTTTAAATTAATAGGGTCACACCTTAACAATAGAGAACAAACTGAGGGTTTCTGGAGGAGAGGTGGATGGGGGGTGGGCTAAATAGATGATGGCTATTAGGGAGGGTACTTGTTGTGATGAGCACTGGGTGTTGTATGTAAGTGATGAACCACTACATAAAAATAATAGTAAAGTCAATTTTAAAGGATAGTAAGAAAAGTAGTTTCGCAATATAAATATTTTATATTAGGACTATTTCTGACTTCCTCTTAAACGTACTGTCACTTTTCTAGCCTGTTCCAGAGATTAAAGTTGTGTCAAATCTGCCGGCCATTACCATGGAGGAGGTAGCCCCAGTGAGCGTGAGTGACGCAGCTCTCCTGGCCCCAGAGGAAGTCAAGGTAAGAAACCAGTGTTGAAACATTTAGCCATATATATATATATATATATATATATATATATATATATATAAATTAGTTGTTTATAGCTAGATTTCTATTCAGTGTCATTATCCTGGAGTTTGTAGCTTTTATTCTAATGTATCAGCAGTTTCTAAGTATAGTCAAACTAATAGTATTACACAGTATTGAAATATCAGTCTTCTGTAATCAGATATTATGAGGTACAGGTATGAGAATTATTATAAAAGCTTCTTGTAAATATCCGATGTCTGTATCTTGTTACAATCCAACTTGAATACTAGCAGTGATGTTGGGTTAAAATAAATGGTTTATGTTGCTCATATGCTAGCAGTCCTTTAATATCAGCATTTTCCCCCATTATTGTATCCGTTTAATGCTTATCAACACTGGAATCAGTGTCTAGAATAGAACATTTGGGTTATTAGAAGAAGTTGGATGCAACCAAATGTAGGCAGTCCCTGGCTCATGAACATTGGAGCTCATGCATTACACACAGAAACAGTGGTTTCTGCCAGGTCTCATCTTCCCGGCAGGCCTGGCAGCACGGCTGTTTGTCCCTCTGCACTTGCTTTGCTGCACCCACACCCACCCCTTCAGGACCTCTGCCAGCTCTGCAGGTGACGGCCCTGGCAGGATAAGCTGGCAGCTGGGGGGAAGAGAGAGGACATTGATCCTCCTGGATAGATGTTTCCCTTCCATTTCTGGGAGCCCCTCCTGCCAGCCAGTGGCTGTCCTCTGCAGCTTAGCTCCGAGGTTGTCCCTAAAGCCCATCTGGAGTCTTTTTTTTTTTTTTTTTAAGGATTTTTTTTTTTTTTTTTTTTAAGATTTTATTTATTTATATGACAGAGAGACACAGCAAGAGAGGGAGCACAAGCAGGGGGAGCGGGAGAGGGAGAAGCAGGCTTCCCGCGGAGCAGGGAGCCCGATGCGGGGCTCGATCCCAGGACCCTGGGACCATGACCCGAGCCGAAGGCAGACGCGTAACGACTGAGCCACCCAGGCGCCCCCCCATCTGGAGTCTTAAGTGCTGGAGGGGGCTTGCTTCTGGGACTGTCAGCAGGATAAACCAGCTCTCCAGGCTGCCTTTGCGATGTAGTTTGGGAGCTGAACTGCCACTGTAAGAGTCTGCTTTGTCAAAGAATGCATTCCAGGTCTTAAAGAGCTGAGCTCCCAAAGCTCTATGGGGTGCAGATGGGTACTGGTTACTCAACTCTTGGCGATAGGTATAGCCCATTGGCCATGCTCTGTGGAATTGCTACTCCTCCCATTTCCGAGTTGTGTTAAGTTGGATTAACTGGTATGCTGGTGGTTACCTTTAATAGGAAAAAAATAAAGCCGGAGATGTAAAAACAGCTGCTGAAAAAACAGCTACAGACAAGAAACGAGAAAGGAGGAAAAAGAAATATCAGAAGCATATGAAACTAAAAGAGAAGGAAAAGCGGAGAAAACTGCTTGAAAAGAACCACCCAGACCAAGCGAAGAAATACACGAAGGCAGTGGCTTCTGAGAAGTTAAAACAGCTGACCAAAACAGGCAGAGCTTCACTACTAAAGGTAAGGATGCAGGAAAGAAAACCACTGCAGGGGGCCCTCGTGGGGAAGGCGGTGGCAAGCAGTGGGTGACACCGCCCGCCTGACGGTGCGAGACCACTGGCGCCTGGCGAGGATAACAGCCTGAACTCTGGGCCCTCACGGCACCTGGGGCCTGGCAGCCCTTGTCTTCCACTCCCTCCTCCCTTAACGTTACAAGAACATCACAGCAGCATAGAGCTCATAGAATACGTCTGTGCTAACTGGTGTGATTTTTCATAATTTATTCTTAGTTTCTGGATTTTTATACTTTGTACACTGTTGAAATCATTTGGCTTTTTTTACTCATAAGCAGATTTTATAGCGTAAGTGTGTTACTATTTTTAATTGCAGGATGAAGGTAAAGACAAAGCCTTAAAGTCATCTCAAGCATTCTTTTCCAAATTACAAGATCAAGTAAAAATGCAAATCAGCGATGCAAAGAAAACAGAAAAGAAAAAGAAGAAAAGACAGGATATTTCTGTTCATAAATTAAAGCTGTAATATATTTTGAATATAATGTAAATACTAATGTGTAAGCTTATATTCTGTCATTGTTCTCTTTTATAATAAATTTTTTGAGAATTTTTCCTTGCATAGATGGCAGATATTTGAGAATTCCTCATTTTGAAAAGACAAACTCTAAACTGTCATTGGAAAGCCCTGAACTGCTTCCTGTGTGAAGCTGGACCTAGCTCCCAAGGCCCTTTCCACACTGTGTCCTCGCTGGGGCAGGTGAAGGCCAGCCCAGGGCATTGGCCGGTGGGCGGGAGTTGGCCTGCAGGCTGACCACGGCCCAGGAGCCAGCCGTCCCCGTCACAGGCAGCTGTTTACAGCAGGGGTCCTCACTCTTTGGAGTCCTGATGTTCTTCTCCCACTGGCCTGTCAGCCTTTCACAAAACACTGCACATGCCTTCCGTCCTTCCCCTTGGGAGGTGATCTCCCACCCACCTGAATGAAGGCTTCATTCAGGCTCTAGGGTACCACCCACGGTCAGATGCGTGGAGGGCAGGCAGGACCTAGACGTGATAGAAGGTGAACACAGCAAGGAGGGTAGAGCAGTGGTGGTGAGCAGTGTGGTGAGCCTTCCATGACTACCTCCGCCTCTAGAGAAAACTGTCTTTTGTCTGATAGGAACTCATAGTATGCTTTGATGGAATTGCCCTAAGACAGCTCAGAACAGCTTCTCCTGAAGCAGCAGGGAAAGCCCTTCTGGTTTTCCATCTACAGGGGTCGGTCAGCAGGCAGGAAGAGGTCGTGGGCATGTGCTTTCTGCATTTCTGCTTCCTAATAAACAGAAGCTGGCCACGTCAGGGTAGAACCAGGCTGGCTGGGGCTAGCTGGAGCACCAGTCAGTACTGAATTGTCATTTGTTGGAAGTTTTATTCAGGAGAGTTCTCTTCACTATTTGCCTTTGTCTTCTGAACAGTTCGAGCAACCCCGGGTCTCCGTCTAGCCTTAGTGAAAGTGTCATTTCCTTACAGTAATGGGAGTGTTAATATGGCTCTAAGAGTTCCTGCTTTCTTGTTAAATTCAGTTTGCCAGTCCCCATTCAACTGCGAGCTTAGTTCTCTTGCCCTTGAGTCTTTCTTTCATAATCAGTCATCAGGATCAGAATGTTTGATCCTGAAGTGATGATTCACTTTACCTGTCCAAGGGCAGTTTGATGTCTGCATAGTTTGAATCCCTCTTATCTTCATTTTTCCCACCATCTTTAGGTGAGGCATATCTGTTCATTCACTTTTTTAATGTAATATTTTATACATTCTAAAGATTATATTCTTTTATATACCTACTCTCTGCCAGGCAGTATTGTCGGTACCAGGGATATAACTGAACAAAACAGTAATTCTTGCGCTTAAGAAGTGTTCATTCTGGTGGAATATTTATCTACTACTTCTTTATAAATTAGAAGCATCACGTAACGTTGGAGAAACCATCCTTTATCTAAAAACACACAACAGGGCCCCTGGTTGGCTTAGTTGGTGGAGCATGGGACTCTTAAATCTCAGGGTTTTAAATTCGAGCCCTACATTGGGTGTAGAGATTACTTAAAAAAAAAAATCTTCAAAAACACAAAGCAATACTCAGTGGTGCTCTTCATCTGCTTCGCTTGACTATGTAAGGAGGTAAAGAGGAAATCATGGTTCTGAGCGGTGTGTTCATCATTTCTTTACATTCATATATATTTGACCACATGTATCCCTAGTCAATGCATTGTTTACTAGTACTTGAATTTTAGGAAAATAGAACACTGTACACTCACCTATTGCTTGCTTTTTCACTCTTGATTTCCCTCATTCATCCAAAATGCTATTTGTTTTTGCTGCCATATAATATCGTATGCATCTATCATGATTTTATTTACCCTGTCTTGTGAAGATACTTGTTTCGTTTCATATGGAATAATGCCATTTCGAACATCCCGTTCCCAAACACTGTCGCTCTTATGCTTTAGCCTCTAATGCCCTTTAGAATAGAATTGCTGGGTAGAAAGTGCAGAAGATTAAGGCTGTCTTGTTCTTCAAAGTAGGTGTACAAACTTGCACTTAATCGTATCTTTGTCAGACTTGGCATTGGCAGGATTTAAAAAATGTGCCTTTCTGCTGGACATAAAATGATGTATCTGTGTGGTATTAATTTATATTTCTCTGCTAATGAGATGGAGCATTTTGTTGTGTGTTCTCTGTCTCATTTTTAGCTAGTTTTTTAATATTTTAAAATTCATATAAAATATATGTATACATATATAAAATAAATAAAAATATATAATTTTTACAGAAAAATTCCAGGAAATTTAGCTCCATTTGCTTTATTATCCTTGTTTTCTTCTGAACAATTTGAGAAGTTAGAGACATTGTGGCCTTTTCCCCTGAATACTTCAGTATGTATTTCCTAAGAATACGAATATTCACGAACATAGAGCTGCAGTATAATGATCAAAATCAGGAAATTTAGCATCAATATGATGCTATTAATCTGTAGTCCATATTCAAATTTTGTCAATAGTCCCAATAATGTCCTTTCTAGCTCTTTCCCCCTGGTCCAGGATCAAGTAATTCTAAGATTCCTCATTGTATTTAGGTGTTATGTCTGTTTAATTTCCAATTCCTGAGCCTTTCTCTGTCTTGACTAACATTTTTGAGGCATACAGGCCAGTTATATAGACCGTCTCACAAAATTGGATTTGTCTGTTTTCTCAGGATTAGATTGAGGTTATACATTTTTGGCAGGAAAGCCAAAGCAGAGGTGTGTCTTTAGTACCTCCAGTACAGAGGGTCAGGATAATCCGTTTGTTTCGGTGAAGCTGGTGCTGAAAACATTTCGAGTTTGTTACAGTGATGACCACCAGGTTTCCCCACTATAAAGTTACTGCTTTTCCTTTTTACTTAATAATCAGGGAGATACTTTGATACTCTGAATATCCCATTCCTCAACAAACTCACCAGTTTTGGCATCCATTGATGATTTTCTAACTTAATTTCTTCTATATCTATTACTTGGCATTCTGTAAGGAAAGTTTTCCCTTCTCATTTATTTCAGTATTGACTGATTTTTTTTTTTTTAAAGATTTTATTTATTTGACACAGAGAGACATAGCAAGAGAGGGAACACAAGCAGGGGGAGTGGGAGAGGGAGAAGCAGGCTTCCCGCTAAGCAGGGAGCCCGATGCGGGGCTCGATCCCCGGACCCTGGGATCATGACCTGAGCCAAAGGCAGACGCTTAACGACTGAGCCACCCAGGCGCCCCCTTGACTGATTTTTATATTATTCAGTGTTTTTTAATCCTTTTATTACGAATTTTGATTTTCCAGTTGTTCCGGGCCAGTACAGTGGAAGGCCCTTCAAACTAATTTCTGAGTTCTGATATGTTCCCATTATTCTCTGAGCACTTTCTTATTTTCCGGGGCTAATAAATGTTCCAGGCTTATCCTGTCTTTTCCCTGGAATTGGCCATTTTCCCACAGAACCCTGGTTCCTCTTGGAAAATGATATTTTCAAACAGATGTGCTCATTGCTGCTGTTGCCCCAGCACCACTCACCAGGGCTAGAAAATTGTGGTTGTGTGGTGTGTGTGTGTTACATGTATTCCATATATGAGTTCATACCAAAACCTCTGATTCTAATCTAATACCCCTGCAGATTAAATTCTAGTATTCACTCTTTCCTTATTTATAATGCCTTTTCCAACAGTGAGAAATCTTGCTCCCATTGTTAGTATATTTATTCATTTACTCAAGCCTAGAATATACAAGAAGTTTTTAGAACTAGTAAACTTATACCACTAGGAGAAGGAAAAAATACGTGTTCTACACTTGTTGAATATAGTGTTCTATATTTCAGTTAGTCCTAAGCTTTGATATTTTTGTTCAGTTATTATGTATCCTTAGTGATTTTTTTTTGTTTAGTTCTGTCAATTAGAGAAGCATGTAAAATCTCTAATTATGTTTTTTCTTTTTTTTATTAAAATCTCTAATTATGATTGTGGATTTTTCTCTTCCTATTATTGTGTCAGTTTCTGCTTAATGCATTTTGAAGACCTATTATTAGGTATATACCCATTTATGATTTTTTATGTCTTTCTCACAAATTGACCCTTTTGACTATAAAGTGATGTCTTTTTCTCTGGTAGTACTCCCTGTCTTGAAGTCTATTTTCAATATAATACTATGGCTCTTTTGATATTTGTTTCAATAATATATTATTTCCCATTCTCTGACTTCCCAATTGCCTGTGTCTTTTACATATATCACATAGTTAGGAATTGCTTGTTAAGTCTAATCTGACACATTCTATCTTTTATTTATTTTTAAAGATTTTATTTATTTATTTGAGAGAGAGAGAGAGAAAGCACGAGCAGGGGGAGGGGGAGGGACAGAGGGACAAGCAGACTCCCCGCTGAACAGAGAGCCTGAGATCACTACCTGAGCTGAAGTCCGATGCCTAACCAACGACACCCAGGTTCCTCTGGTTCTATCTTTTAATTGGAGCTTTTAGTCCATGCACATTTAATGTAATTATTGGTTTGGTTGTACTTGGTTTTACCATTTTGCTATTTATTTTCTCTTTATTCTAATTATTTTCTCATCCTCTTTTTCTGTTTTTAAAATAAAAAAATCTGTCAATATTCTACTTGAATATCTCTTAATGTATTAGCTCTACATTGCATTGATTTTCAGTTGTTTAGGAATTACAATATGCATCCTTAACTTAAAACAGTCTACTTAGAGTTAATATTTTACCACTTCATATAAGATGTAAGACCTTTGTAGTGATATATTTACATTTACAATCTCATCCTTTTTGCTATTGTTGTCATCTATAATTCATCTAGGTATGTTAAAATCCTGTGATGCATTGTTACTATTTTTGCTGCTGGCCCTCCAGTTTCTGCCTACTTTTGGTCATTCTCCAATGTTTTCAAGTAGACTTTTTTTTTACACTTTATAATTGTTTATAATTTAAAATTGTAATGAAACATTTGTTTCTGTAATTTTTATATTGTTTATAATTTTTATATTGTTTATACTTGTTATATGCAAGATTTTTAGCCCAATAAAATATAAGCTACAAAGCCATTACTAGAAAGTTTTTAATTTAACTATAGTTGTGTTTATCAATCTCTTATTTTATGGTAGCACTTTTTCTCTTATTTAAGGAATCCTATAATACCTTCAAGATAATAAAATTATCTCTTATGCAGGCATATCTCATGTTATTGTATTTTACTTTATTGTGCTTTGCAGATACTGCGTTTTTTTTAAAATGTAATTTTATTATGTTATGTTAATCACCATACACTACATCATTAGTTTTTGATGTAGTGTTCCATGATTCATTGTTTGGATACTGCGTTTTTACAAATTGAAGGTTTGTGGCAACCCTGTGTTGAGCAAGTCTATAGGCACAATTTTTCCAACAGCATTTGCTCATTTCATGTCTCTGGGTCGCATTTTGGTAATTTTTGCAATATTTCAAACTTTTTCATTATTGTATTTGTTATGGTGATCTGTGATCAGTGATTTGCTGAAAGCTCAGATGATGGTTAGCATTTTTTAGCCATAAAGTATTTTTAAATTAAGGCACATACATAGTTTTTTTTTTTTTAGACATAATGCTGTTGCACACTTAATGGACTGCAGTGTAGTATAAACATAATTTTTATATGCACTGAGAAACCAAAAAATTCATTTGATTTGCTTTATTGTGATACTTTATTGTGGCCTGGAACCAAACCCATATCTCTGAGGAATGCCTGAATTCTAAAAGTTTTGAAGTTTGCTTTTCACAATTGTTAACTTTAATCTCGTTAGCCTTTTAATCTTTGTATTTATTTGGTGTGAGGTAGGGATCCAATTTCATTTTTCCACATAGGTAACCTATTCTCAAAAGCCATTTATTGAACAGTCAGATTTCCCTCAGTTCCCTACAACATTTACTGTGTTGGGGACTGGATTTATTGCATTCCCATAAATAGTTTGGGATTTTCTTGTGCTATGCTATTTATTTCATTACTTGGCCAACCCCTTCACTTGTGAACTGTATCCCATCCCCTCACCTACCTAAGAATATTACTCCAGCAAGTCTCCTTTCTCTCTCCTGCTTCAGATTTCATTCTGCCTGAATGTTCCTATCAGCATATAAACATACTGGTTTTTTTCCCATCTTAAATAAACAAAACTCTTAGCCCCACCTCCCCTTTTAGCTCTGCTATACCTCTCTGCTTTCCTTCATTACAAAACCTCTGGAAGTCTACACCTCCTGTTGTTGGAGAGGAAAAACTTTTCCTCTGCCCTCTTAGATTTAGTGCCTGGGGGCCTGTGAATTAAACTGACAAAAGAAGATGAACAGGAAAAATTATTCATATACTTATGGGAGCTTACAAAAGAAGTAGCTTGATAAATGGTTAAAGTTAGGGAAAGGAAGGGGCTAGAAGAGGTCTTTGGGGAAGAGCACATGAGTTTCTAGAAGAACAAATGGGAGATCAGAAAGTTTGTGATAATGGTTGTTCATGCAGGTGGGGGTGGTTTTTCAATTTTTGTGGCCATAAGATTTCCCTGGAGAGAGAATTTATGGTAGATATTCTCTAGGTCTCCTTCCTGGTAATAAAAGCCACCCCCATCCACCCCCCTCCCCAAAGAGGGAATTTATGGCAGCCTTATTTCCTAGAAGTTTCTTTTAGTCAGACAAGGGAAGCTCCAAGAAGGCTTCTTTCTGTATCTGTTGAATCCCAAATGCCTTCAGCTTAAAATAATCTTCATACCAACTCGGGTTTTGAATGGGTCCCTGTATTGTCTCCAATTCCTGTCTCCCCATCTTTCTTGAATCCTATTCAATCATCCCACTGTTCCACAATAGCTTTTGTCAAAGGCACCAAATACCCTCCACATTGTTAGATCTAATGGTTGCCTTCAATGCTCATCTTCCATTCCAGCTGTATCTGACACCCCCCCCCCCAATCCTCAACACACATCATTCACCTGGTTTTCTGGAAGCTAGCTCTTTTCCTTCTTTCTCACCAGTAACTTCACAGACTCGTTTGCTGGCTCACTCTCATCTCCCTTCTTTTTATTGCACTGTCCAGTCTTCCTGACCTTTTAATTCTCTATTTGTAGTCACTCTGTGGTATCATATATTGATACCATATAAAGCCTGATGATTACCGAATTTTTATTTCCTGACCTGATTTAATTAATAAATTCAAGTGTCTTCATCCACAACAATGTCTGATTGGCATTTCAGACTTACATGTTGCCATGGTTTGAACATTTGTGTATGCCCCACCCCTCCTGCCCCAAATTCATGTTGAAATGCTAACCCCCAATGTAATGGCATTAGGAGGTGAGGCCTTTGAGAGGTGATTAGGTCATGAGAGTGGAGCCCTTGTGAATGGGAATTGTGCTCTTATAAAACAGACCGTACAGGGCTCCCTAGCCCCTTTCACCCTGTGAGGATACAACGAGAAGCCGGGGATCCAGAAGAAGCACCTGACCATGCTGGCACCCTGATCTTGGACTTCTAGCCAAGAGAAATGTGAGAAGTAAATTTCTGTTATTTGTAAGCCATCCAGTCTGTGAGTGGACTGACATGTGTCTGAAACTGAACTCTTGATTTTTTTCCCCCTCCATCCTTCTAGTTGATGGGCCAAAGTTTTTCTTTCCCTCATACCTTACATCTTTTACCATAAACAAATTCTTTTTTTTTAAGATTTTATTTATTTATTTGACAGAGAGATAGAGAGCACAAGCAGGGGGAGCAGCAGAGGGAGAGGGAGAAGCAGGCTTCCCGCTGAGCAGGGAGCCCAATGAGGGGCTCCATCCCAGGACCCTGGGATCATGACCTGAGCCAAAGGCAGACGCTCAACCAACTGAGCTACCCAGGCGCCCCTACCATGAACAAATTCTGTTGGTTATACCTACTCAATGTATCCAGAATCTTGGCTATTTCTTACAACTGCAACATTAGCCCTCTGACCCAAGCCGCTATCATCTCTCCCCATCATCTATGCTTAACAGGGGGAGTGGTTCCTCCATATCACTCACAGTAAATGCTAAAATCCGTGTGACCAGCCAGGCCTTTTATCAAATGTCAGCAGACTATAGCCAGAGGCCAAATGTGGTCAGCTCTTTGTAAATAAAGTTTTATTGTAACACAGTCACACTCATATTACATATCCTCTATGGCTGCTTTCGCACTACAACAGCAGTGTGACCAGAGGCCCTATGGCCAGCAAAGCCTAAAACATTTATTACCTGCCCTTTACAGAAAATGTTTGGTACCCTACATGATCTGCCCTCTGCTACCTCGCTCACTTCCCTTCTGCTCCAGTGACTTGTCTCGGCTTTCTTGGTGTTTTTAGATTTGTTAGGCAAGTTTCTACCTCAGGGAACACTACCTGTTGCTGTTTCATCTGCTTGCAATTCCCTTCTCTCAAGTATTCACTGCTTTACCTCCTTCAAGTCTGCTCAAAGATTACCTTCTTCAGCGAAGCCTTTCCTTACCACTCTTTCATATTGTAATCCTCCTCCCTGCCCTCCCCCTGAGGTTCCTGGCTTTCTCGTCAAAGTATTCATCTTTTAATTGTCTACATCGTTGATTTTTTTGTTTTTTCTCTGTCTTCCTCCACCAGAATGCATCCTCCACCCGAAGGCAGGGATTTTTCTCCCATTCCTCATTCTGTTCACTGCCATATTTCGAGCATCAAGGACATTACGTGACAGGAGGTAGGCACTCAATACATATTTGTTGGTGAATTCCCTATTCATGTCCCTTTTCTCTGTGGCCTGCTCATTTATTCATGCATTCATCTCACACGTATTTACGGAGTAATTACACCGTGCTGGCCCCAGATATAAGCACTGGTAAAGGGCAACCCGGGGCCCCTGCGCTCAGGCATTCTGGATCATTCATGGGGATGCTGGACGGCACCAGCTGGTGTCGGTGCTCAAGAGCTGAGTGATACACTTTCTGTTTCAGGTAAAATTTTCCGTTGTTAAGCAGCATTATACACTAAACTGTATAACTTCACAATGAAGCCATATGAAAACCAGGAATAATGACTACTCCACACTCACTACTCCTAACTCCTTGACTACATTTTATTGTTCCTTTGCTCCTGAGGTTAGTCACAGGTACTGCAGCAAGGCGGCGGGCAGCACATCCACGGGAAAGTCCAGCGCCGCGCTGAGCCCTCCTCGCGGACTCGCGGGCGCGGGGCCACTGGCGCCCCCGCGTGCATCTGCCCGCAGGAGGCCGCTTCGTCGTGACACTGAGTGCGCCCCGCCACAGGCCACCTTCCCACCGGCTCGGGACAGGGGTTCCCTCCGAGTGCATGTCTCCAGGTGTGGAGGAGGGGCTGCACGGGGGGGCCTCCGGACAGCTCGGCCCGCTTCGGCCCCTCTGGATGGGGGGGGAAAGCCTTTACTGTGGAAGGGAGGAGGATCGATCACTCGGGCCTCCATTTGCCGAGCCTGTGCCGAGCCGAGACGCGGGGATCGGCTGGGAATGCCTGGGCGCGCGGAGCCCGGTGGGAAGCGCGGGGCGGCCCGCTGGGGTCGCGGGCTGGCTTTCTGGTGGGCGCTGCGGGCTCGAGGGGATCGCGCGGGCGGGTCGAGGCGGCCGGGCGGGGAGGGGGGAGGAAGGGCGGACGGGAGGGCGTGGTGGCGGAGCCCAGGTGCGAGTCCCAGGTGCGAGTCCCAGGTGCGCGCACGCGGCCCCAGGGGGAGGGGCAGGCCGTGCTCCCCAGAGCCTCGGAAGTTCGGTGGCCGAAGCTGCACTGGGGACCCCAAGCGTGTTGACAGATGCCCGCGACTTGGAGGGTTCCTCTCTACCGGCCTGTGAGACTGAAGGGACTCTGGGGATCGTGCAGATAGGCATTCTCTTCGCCCGGAAACAGTTACTGATGCAGTGGTTTTAAAAAGGGATCTGGAATAGTTGGATTTTCCCTTTTTAAAAAAAAATGGATAATTTTAGAGCGTAAGAAGTCTCAGAAATTATCCCTGCGGAGCAGGGTTGGGCTCGTTTTATGGCTAAGGGTCACACCGAGATTGCATGTAGACCTGGAAGTAGAGCCCTGTCC